GATAATTATGCTGTTTTTTTTTTTGTTTTTTTTTTCTGGCAGTCTGTTGTATATGTAGTATTCTTCACCAACACTATAGTTAAAAGGTATTAATTCTTATGTGGTCTTCTTTATTAATTGGTAAGCTTTTGCTTGCATTTGAGGTGATTAAAAACACAATTGCTTGAGTTGAGAACACCTTAGACTTCTAAGTGGCATCTTGCTCTATAACAGGTCATTTGCAGCAGACTTGCCCAGTGCAAAATGTTTGATTACTTGGCTGCTGCTTCCATGGTTTAAGTGTAAATCCAAGTAAAATGAAATCCTTAAAAATTAGAATTTTTTCTGTTTATCATGATAATGTTTATTGGTCCAAATGTTAGGATTTTGTTTTGTTTTGTTTTGAGTTGCAATGTACACTGAAGTTCTCTCTCTCTCTCTCTTTTTTTTTTTTTTTCCAGCAATAAACTTTGTGTCTTCTGTAAAACATAGATTGTTAATGAGTATTCTTCCTGTCCTGAGACCACTCTCTTCATATAGCCTAATTTCTGGAAAAATTTCTCAACGTACAGATGGAATAAAGATAAGTATAGTGAATGGCTAAAACCATGGTATACACCTTTCCTGACAATAAAGCAGTGTTGACTTTTTCTATTGGAATGACTGTCTCTTGGCCTATATACTATTTGCTCATGAGCAGAATTAAGTGTTCTGGAATTCTCATTCATGACAATATTATCCCTAGTTATGATCTATACAACTGAATAATTTGTTATGTCAATTAAATGCAGGTAAAAATCTTTCTTTTTTTCTGCTTTCAGTCAAAATATATTTTACCCTTCTTCAATGTGCTTCTCTGAAAATAGCTTGAGTTTCTGTTTCCCTGTCTATGTATTGATGCAATAGGTTTGAATTATTTTCATCAAGTTATTACTTGTGCGTGATATTAAAGATACTAACATCCAGAAGCGCAAATCGCTTAGAATAACTGAAACGGAATCATTTAAAAAAATTAATTTTAGTGTCACACACTTTGTGATTTCAAGACTTGATATAAAGCTACTTTAAAGTATATTCTTTTTTTAAACATATACAAATAGATCACTTTTTATTTACTATCTATATAGTAATTATCCAGATATAGACCTACACATATATGGACAATAAATTTTTAATATTGTTGTTGTTGTTGTTTAGTGCCCTCAAGTCAGTTCCAACTCATAATGATCAAGTATAGGGATTCTGAGGAGCAACTGGTGAGTTTGAACCATTGACCCAGTGGTTCAAACTGACCTTGTGGTCCAGTGCTTTATCCCAAAGCACCATACCAGACAATTGCTTTGAAAAAAATGATAGTTTTTACAACAAATGGTGCTGGAACTATCATATACACATATTAAAAACTCAAAGAACTTTGACCTATATCACACAACACAAAAATTTTTAACTTCAAATGTATCATAGATCTAAATATGAGCATAAGGAGCTCTGGTAGCATAGTGGTTACAAGTCGGGCTACTAACCTCAAGGTTAGCAGTTCGAAACTACCAGTTGTTCCACGGGAGAAAGATGAGGCTTTCTGCTCCTATAAAGATTTACAGCCTTGAAAGCCTTATTTATGCAGAGTGTCTATGAGTCAGAACCAACTCCACAGCACACCACCACCAAATATGAGTATAATACATACAACACTAAATATTCTAAAATAAAAATATATGAACATTTTAACTTTAGGTAAGACAGAGAGAATTCTTATTATAACCATTATAATTACAAGTAACAAAGAAAACAATGTTGGCAACAAAATTAAAGCAGGTACAATATCTGAATAGTTACTTCATCAAAGAAAATATGTGGTTGGCACATAAGCATAAAAAAAGTTTTTCAACATCATTAATCACGGGGGGGGGTGCGTGTAAAAATTTAAGACAAAGTGATACTACTACAAACTTTACAGAATAACTAAAATTTGAGAGAAAATGTCAAGTGCTGATGAGAATGTGAAATCATTGAAACCATCATTCATACTGATGGAAATGTAAACTGTTACAAACACTGAAGAAAAATCTGACATTTTTGTAAAAATTAGAGATGTATCAGCTATGCAACTGAGCTATCATGCTTTGAAGTATGTGTACAAAAGAAATTAAAGTTAATTTCTACAAAAGTATTGCAGTATTTAGGAACTGGAAACCAAATGTCAATTTAATAATAAAAATATAAGCTAAGTGTAGTCTTTCTGTACATTACAATATTATTTAACAATTAAGAGGAGGCACTACTGATTTGTACGACATGGATAGATCTTAGAATAATCATACTAAATGGAAAAAATAAAGACAAAAAAATACAAACTGAATTATTTTATTTATACAAAACTCTAGAGAATTCAATCTACGTAGTCTAATCTATACTAATCTAATTTAAACTAATTTTGATAGTTGAGGTTCTGAGCCAATTTGACTGGACCAGGATTCCCAGTGGTTTGGCAGCTGAGATGTGGCTATCACCATGGTGATGAAACCAAATGTATCATCATTGGTAAATATAGCCAAGTCCGTTCTGAACCAGAGTGACCTGATATAGGGTTTGCAAGGAGCAGGTGGTGGGTTTGAACTTCAGACCTTGTGGTTTACAGTCTCATTCTGATCCTACAGCACTACACCAGGAGTCCAGAACTGAATACAGGCATAGTTAATTATATGATGATTGGTTATGACCAGCCAATCACAACTGAAAGAATGCTTAATTGGGAGTGTGTCCTGTACCAATAAAATGAACACATATGAAAAGCTTGCTCTCTTATCTTTTGAGGTCTAGGGACTCTCAACTGTGAGCCATTTATTTGATATAAACTTCTCTTTATATACATATATGTAAGTATCATTGGTTTTGCTTCTCTAGAGAACCCAGCCTGAAATATTAATCTAGTCTGTGCCAGGAAATGGAGTTGATTTTTGGGAAGACTGGAGACAGGGATTACTGGAGAGATAGGAAGCTTGTGGAGGAAAGAAATATATGCATTAACTTGATTGTAGTCATGTTATTACAGGTATACCAATATGAAAAATCTTATGAATTCCTATTGTTCTAAATTTGTGCAATTTAAAGCCATGATCAAACTTGATGGACTCCTGACATACTTTTCTAATTAAGTAAACACACCCACTTGCTGATATGGAAGGAGATGTGTGCCTTCATCAAGACAACCAACATTTACTGAAATTCTACTATGCAAGATATCCTACTAGATGACAAAGGAGCAGATTTATGGCTTATTAGAATTTGATCTCACTCAGATTCAAAAATATCCAATTGTTAGGCAATAAAAAAGGTCCATCATTTGAAAAAAAAGAATATATTGTAAATGATTTGGGGCTTTTAGCATAAAGTTTATTTTTGTTTTTGTAAAAATACTGCCAAGAAATGAAGGCACAAAAAATAATATCTACTTTGTTTTAGAGTTTTGGATATTTTGATATTTTCAGGATACTTCCTAATGTCATTTATAGACATTATTTTATTTTAATTTCAAGTTTTTATAATCACTTAAATTGCTTGTTTTTTATACAAATCTAATCTCTGAGCTCCTTGAATGTTAGATCACTGACTTTTAACTTTAAAAATATGGTGAACATGTACACAGATAAAGACATATCCTTTCAACAATTCCTACACATACAATTCAGTGACATTGATTATATTCTTCAATTTGTGAAACCATTATTATTATTATTCTCCATATAATTCAAACAATATCTTCTTAAACTCATTACCACATATTTCCCCATAAAATCTTTTGAGCTGCCTTTCTTAATTTGATCTCACTTAGATAATTCTGTTTCGAAAAAGTACCATGCTTCTATTAGTAAAAACACTTTACTAATTAAGACAAGCTGTTTCTTGGCTCAAAAAGACTTCAGAAAATAGTTATGGTTTAAGGTGTAGTAGTTTTGGGGTTCACCCATCTTCTCTGTAAAAACTAACTCTGTAAAGTTTGGATTTTGTTTAGAATATGAAATTCTAGTCTGCATTTTCCTCTATAGAATCTTTAATTAAAACTTTCAGTTTACTAGTAGTTACCATGGGAGGATAAAAGTGTTAAAGGGAAGCAGTAATGGAAAATTGGGCATCTAGTAAAGGTAAGGGTTGCACAACTGATTAATGTAGATCATTAGGCTGCACACATGAAAAAATATTGAAGTGGCAAATATTGTGTTATATACATTTTTATTAAAAAAAAATTAAAGGCCGCTGAGAATGCTAATGCACAGCCAAACTCTTTATGGGATTGTTGTTCTTGGTATAAATGCTTAGAGTCATGGTTTATAGGGTCATCCCAAACAATTAGCCTACTACTTTTTCTCAGTATCTATGTTCTACTTCCTAGTTTTTTTGGGTAGTGACTATGGTCTTCAAAGCTAACAAACAGCTATCTAAGGTAAAACATTCATCTGTAGCAGCAAAGGAAGGTGAGTCAGGAATAGAAGTCGGATATTGAATGCATAGCTTGCTATGTCCATGAATAATTGCATCCTTTGCCATGAGAAGTGAACTGCATGGTGCTCAGCTACCATTACAGGAAAATAATTTGTTTTACATATTTTTGTACAGGTCATGGATTATTTGAACTATGTATTAAGTTGAAAGGACAATGCAATATGAATAACATCAGTAGCAAAGGGATAGCAGTTATAGACTTTGGAGAATAATGCCTGGTTTTAAAACACAACTTAATTATTGACTCATTATTAAAGAAATCATTTAAATTCTGAGTCCCGTAGATTTACCATCAGCAAAAGGATATCCAAATTGGATCTACCTTGTAGAATGATAAGAGTCAAATAAAATCATATATCCTGAGCACTTAGAACACAGATCAGCAAATAGTTTATGCTATAGAAGTGTTTGCCTTATTATTGTGCTTGACCATTAACTGTGCAACTTTTTTTCATAAAGTTTATTTATAAGTGATAAAATTATTATTCTTCTGGAAGCATAAATGTTACGAAAATACTTACTTTACTAAATTGTTCATAGCATCTGGATCATATGCTGTAACCTGACCAATGATGCTGCCTTCCTTTACATCTTCATCTACTTCTATCAAGTAAGACATTTTGCTGAACACTGGCGGTTCATCTATGTCTTCCACAGATATTTTGACCAACGCTGTGTCTTTGAAAGGCCCGAGGTGTGAGAATCTTGGATCAGGGTGAGTGTTACTTGCATCCACTCTTAAAGTATACATCATTTTCTTTTCAAAATCTAAATTCTGAAGTTCATTAAATAATATAAATTAACATAATGTGAAACATATCAATGCAAAACAATTTTAAAATTGAATGACAAGCTCTCTTGATTATAACAATTATGGTCAAATAACTTTCTTCATTATTGCTTCTTTAGTATGTCAAATAAATTAGTAAACATTCATTTTGTATTACATTTATATAGAGAGAGTTAACTAAAGACATTATGACTGATGTCCACTTATTAATGTACTTCAGTTTTTAAGTGGTAAAAGAGGACTTCTGGTGTGGTGCTGTGGATTAGCACTGGACTGTGAACCACAAGGTCAGCAGCAGTTCAAACCCATCAGCTGCTCTTCGGAAACCTTATACAGGGTTGCTATGAGTCAGGACTGATTAGATGGTGCTTAACAACAACAACAAAGGCACTGTGGATTAATGTGCTGGACTGCAAAGTCAGCTTGTTCCACAAGGTTGGCGGTTCAAGCTTTCCATCCACTCCCTGGAAACCCTATACAGGGTTGCTATGGATTAGAACTGACTCTATGGCACTTAACAACAACAATGGATATATTAGGTATGCGGTTGTTATTGTTGTTATGTGATGGCGAGTCAGTTCTAATCTTATAGTGGTCCTATGTAGGATTTCCAAGGAGTAGCTATTGAGTTTGAATCACTGACCTTGTGGTCCAGTTCCTTTTCCCACAGTGTCACACTGTGACTCGATATAAGTTATGTTGTTGTTAATCGTCAACCCTGTGGCTCAAACCCACCTTTCCTTACAGTGCTTTGTCCTACAGTACCACATCAGGACTCCATATAAAGTATAGGAGTCCTGGTGTGTCCCTTGGGCATTTATCAGCAACCCTAAAAATTCTTAGTAACATTGACTAGGCAGAGAGAGATAGGCTTGTGGGCACATCTGAGGAGAAGTTGTCCACCTGGAATAATTGTGCCCTGAGCCTTTCTGACCTTGAATATTAACCTGTTAACTATCCTAATAAAATTGATATCTTTGACTATGGTTTGTTAGTTCTGTGTGACCATTGAAATGAATTATTGAATCCAGATAAGAAGTAGAAAGTGCTGTTGAAGGGATGGTTTCTTGACACATTTTTTTGGAAAAAGCAAGTATTAATATTAAATCTGTTGTTGTTAAATGCCACTGAGTCAGATATACGTAAAAAATAGAGGAAGGATAAAATAAAGACCTTTAGCAAAGCTATTTATATAATTAAAAAATAATAAAAATTATTTCTATTCCATTAATCTGGGGTCACTACGAGTAGGTTCCGACTCAATGGCACCTGACAACAACAACAATCTGAGTACTTGTGGAAAGTAAGTTGTTCATGAAATGACAGAAACCAGTACAGTGTAAAATACTGAATATTTTACTGGATTTTTCTATGTAATGTTTCAGAATGTTCACACTACATCAAAACTAAAAACAAACCAAACACATAGAACACATATATTCTTCATGTTTCTAAGAACCATCACATTAAAATATATTTTCAAGAACAAGAAATAGGAATGATGGCAGAAAGATTAGTTTTTCTCCCATGGAGAAAAAAGCAAATACCTTGGAGCTTAGGTACTTAGGTATTTCTTTTATTGCTGTTTACTATCTGCACATGGAGTTGAGGTTTTGTACCACTATGTAAGTGTCACTGATGAAGATGTTTAATTTATCTGAACTGAAGCCACTACAATTATCCCAAGTATATAAAGGATATGCAGCAAGGAAAGGATGGGAAAAGTAAAACCTAGGCTTTTCCACCCTTAACTGAAAAGCAAAATTAAACTTTAGAAAACTAAATGAAAAAAAAAAAAAAATGAAGACATTGAAAAGAAACCTGTTTGACAGTTATAATGCCTTCCTGTGTATCCTTGTCAGTGATGACATCGAACATGTCTGCCCCATCTCCTTGAGCAATACTGTATTCCATATCAGCATTTTCTCCAACATCAGGGTCATTGGCTTTTATCCTGCCAAGATGAGTTCCAAGAGGCACAGACTCAAGAGAATTGAATTGATAAGAACCTGGAAATGAAATCAGAGCTGTTTTGACTTTTCATCTTTAGATAACAAAAATTTTTCATTTTTCCTGCCTTTTTCACTTAAATAAATTTATTTAAGACAAGGAGAGCTTTTTATCATATTGAATTGCAAGTTGTCAAAAGTTATAGATTTATTAAGTTGGGAAAATATTTTATAAAGACAGAAGACTCTCATTTTATAATTGAGAACTACAGTTCCTGAATGATAAAGCAAATGTCCCAAAGTTATTTATGTAATAGATGGTAGAACTGATGTTGGAATCCAGAACTTTTTAAATAAAAAAACAAAAACAAATCAGGTTATTTAACTTTTATCTATGGATTTCAAATTTACCTTATGTACTTTTGCTCATGTTAAATTATCTAAAAAACCATGCATTTCATACTATAGTTTCTCTCTATGTCAGCAATCATAGGAGGAAATAAACTATTTCTTTAAAAGTACTTGAAAACCAATGATTAGTTT